AGAATGAGACGTTCACCACATGAAATTAGGCCAACCAAAAAACAGCAGTAATTGAATGATGTCATCAAGTCGGCAATATAAAAAAATAAAGAAAAAAAATACTCATCAGGAATGTCCCTAACCCTTGTTGAATCCAGTGAAACAGTGGTGTATTTATTTTTCCTGCGGGCAATAAGATGTCCTAACTGGTATTAGATAGGTGTACTTAATATAGTGTCACTGTATATTTGTGTGTGTGAGTATACATATATATGTATTTATAATATGTATAGACAAACTATGACTGTCATTGGCCCACAGACATTCTCTGTCACATGTAGCCGTCCCTGTTTATGCATATGCTGACAGTTTGTCACCCAGAGATCTGAAGTGGACACATTCAGCCTGGCAGATGTACACGAGAACACACTGACACAAGAAGACATTGTCAAACAGATAAAGAGGAACACAGAGGCACACTTACTTAGTGACACATTATTAGCCAGCTACAAAACCAGTGATAAACTGTCAAACACAGAGTGACATGCTATCTTGTAGGAGTGCAGTTTGACAATGCCATAAAATACGGTGACACAGTCTACATGATATACTTTTTATGTTAGCCTTTTTGACATTGAGAAGATTACGATAAACATTTCACGAGATCGTGCCTGTAATAAGCAAACCAAGAAACTGTACATGTAGGATTCCAGCAGGTGCAGAGACACTGCTAAAACACAAACAATGACAATAGAGGTAATCAGATTGTAGTTGCAAAAAATATATAGTAGGTAATTAGAGTTGACAAGATTTACTTTGGAAACAAATCGTGAAGCTACTCTCCATATATTATGATGCTCCCATATGCTAAGTGATTGGGAGGATTATGTGATGTTTATACACATTTAATCAAAATGCACATCTTCTGCAGATGTTAACACGTCATGCAGAATCCTAAACAAACTATATGGTAACTTGTATAGCATTTTACTTCTTCAGTGAAATAATGCTATAATTATATTGCACAGAAATATCTGATTTAATGAACAAATTTTATGAAAAAAATATTGTATAAGAAAATAAGCACTGACATACAAAATATAATAATTACTGGTATTGTAGCTCAGATTTACTACTGCTAACAGATTGTCTATTATTAAAATTAAACTTGATCCACTCTGAATTAAGAAATACAAATAAATGTAGGTGTTGAGAATGTGTCAAGCAAGGTATATATCAATGCACATAGTTCCTCTCCACACAAAAAATTTGAAAAAGTTCTGCAGGGCAATCCTGGAATGAATCATGTTCACGTTCATGTCAAATGTTATCTTCATACCTACCTAAACTATAGGTTTCTTTCGTGGTATTGTGGTGTCTACTTTTTCATATCATTCTTTATTTTAGAAGGGTCTGTATGTAACACACTAAGTAATATTGGTTATTTTATAGTTACACTTTTCTTTGTAGAGAAAAATGTAGTACAGAAAAAAAAAATCATTCTCCCATATAAACATAATGCTCTGTAGAACATGGAAATAGATATTTGCAACCACCCCTGAGAGAGGTCTTTAAATTATATGACTGATGCGGTTGACGCTATATCAAGACAAGATTGAGCAAAGTGTCTTAACAGATCAGGGCCAGATTAACAGCCCAGTGGGCCTGGTGCTGACAATTATGACGGGCTTAATTAAAGAATCATATCAACCAAAAACACTAAAACACTCCCAAGCGTCATGTATCTCATGGAGATGGTGCTGGAGAGAAAGAAAACAGCAGCTATAAGAAAACACATACCCTCTGCTAATCTCCCTCTAACTTATGTTTTCATCTTTCAAGTAAATCCATAACCCCTAACAGCAGTGTCCAGACAAGCAGGAAGTCAATGGGCACGGTAAAAGGGTGTGCCACTGACACAAATCACGTAACCTGCCAAAAGGGGTGAACATGCCCAAAAAGAGGACATGTCTGCCCAAAGAATTTGAAGGCCAGTCTGGCATGAATGCATGTCAGACTGCCTGCCAATCATGCAGCTGGCCAACTAAGGGCATACTATGCAGACAGCACCCTGAGCTTGGCATAAATGCATCTAATGATGCGCTCATTCAACACTTTCTAAGGACTGTCCCCTAGCACTCGCTGGTCCACTTGTCTCCTTACCTTCTTAATAGCAGGCAGATGCTCCTGGTATGTAGTCTGGGACAGAGAAAAGCTGTATGTAGTGAGTGTAGAAGAATGGGAACATGCCACAGTGTTAGAGAGACCAAATTCAGCATTACATTAAAGCAGGGGTTCTCAACCCAGTCCTCGGGACCCCCTACCAGTCCAGGATTTGGGGATTACCTGGGTGTGTCTAATGTGTTTAGAAAAAGGGTAAAAAAAACACCTTAGACACAAACATGAATTCCTGACCCTATAGTGTTAACACCACCATCTAACCCCCCTAGGCCCCTCATGCCTCCATAAATATAGTAAAAATCTTACTGTATTCAAGCCTGAAGCTGTAACTCTGCATGCTGTTAGACTCAGAAAAACAAGCAGTGTGCTGACATCATTAGAAGTGGTGGCCTGATCCAATCACAGTGCTTCCCCATAGCATTGGCTGAGACTGACAAAACGGCAGGTCAGGGGCAGAGCCAGCATGATTCAAACACAGCCCTGGCCAATCAGCATCTCCTCATAGAGATGAATTGAATAAATGATTCTCTATGAGGAAAGTTCAGTGTCTGCATGCAGATTGAGGAGACACTGAATGTTTGGATACATTTTAGGCAGCCATGACCCAGGAAGGATCTCTAACAGCCATCCAAGGAGTGGCCAGTGAAGTTATCACTATGCTGTAATGTAAAGACTGCATTTTCTCTGAAAAGACAGTGTTTACAGCAAAAAGCCTGAAGGTAATGATTCTACTAACCAGAACAAAGTCAATAAGCTGTAGTTGTTCTTGTGACTATAGTGTCCCTTTAACTATATTCATTGTCAGCCAGTCCACACAAGTTTTGTTCCCATACATCCCTCTTAAGATTCCATACTTAAGTAAGAGTATGTGAAAAGTAGTTTGGGTTGCCACCTTTCTTGGAAAAACATACCGGCCTTACTAATTTGCATAATTAAATATGTATGGGTGACATCACATGATGTAAATCACAAGGAGTGACGTAAGAGAAAATGCTGTAAAATCACCAAAAAACTACTTAGTTTGATTATGCTGTATAGATGGATTCCTCTCAGTGCCCCCAGGTTTCCCAGTTCCCCCATGTGTCATTCTCAGCATTCCTATGTATCACAGTGTCTCAATGCCCCATGTCTCCCTGTGTCCTCCAGTATTCCAATGTGTCTATGTCCCCATGTATGTGTCACTAGGACACTAGGAAGACGGTGAGACCTGGGGACACGGGGAGACCTAGGGACACAGAGACACCAGTGACACTGGGAAACTAGGGGACACTGGCTGGGACACATGGGGACACTGGGAAAATAGGGGACACTTGAAGATATGGGGACACAGACAATAGAGACACTGGCTGGGGGACATGGGGACATTGAGACATGGGGACTCTGAGACACCACGGCCACAGACACTAGGGACACTAGCTTGGAGACATGGGAACATTGAGACACTTGAGGCACTGGGAGACATGGAGGCACTAGAAGACATGGGGACAGTGAGACACTGGGAGACTAGGGGTCACTGGGAGACTAGGCGGCACTGAGACACCAGGGACACTGGCAGGGAGACACGGGGACACTGTGTCCCCATGTGTCTGTGTCATAATGTCTCCCAATGTCCCTTAGTGTCTCAGTGTCTGCCATAATGTCTCCCAATGTCCCTTAGTGTCTGTGTCCCCATGTCTCCTTGCAGCCTTTCCCCCCACCCCTTACTTCCCTGAGCTATAGGCTGTCTCTGCAGGGTGGGAGTTGCTGGCTGGACTCTCTGTAGCTGCACCCCTGCAGATCAGTGAGTAGAGAGAGGCAGGGAGGGATATGCTGGAACTTCCTATCCCTGCCTGTCTCCACACACAGTGACCCCTACTGACCAGTGCTGGTATTGCATAGTAATCTCTTGTTTATACTGAGAAAAATACCAGCATTCGTATTGCCAATATCACTGCAATATTGGCACCAGCCAGGAAGCCTCAAATACTGGCTGTGCCAATAAAATAAAAGCCAGGTGGAATCCCTAAGAGTAGTGTGTGAAAAAAAAAAATGTGGTTTTTTTTGTTTTTGTTTTTAAATCAATGGGCCTATTCCATGGGCCTGGGCCTGGGCCTGGAGCTGCAGCTCCATCAGCCCCTATGTTAATCCGGCCCTGTAACAGACAA